ATCACATTTCTTTCTATCTGTAAATCATCTTGTTAACTGCTTTCTCAAAATTAATGATTCAGCTTCCACCCCAGTTGATTTCACATAATCAGATACCTGGATAGATTGATTAATTTACCTGGATAGATTGATTAATTCCATCAACAAACATATATAGACTGCATGTCAGGTGCTAGACATTGTGCTAACACAGGAATTTATAAGGATGAATAATGTGGAGGATCCAAAGTCTGATGAGAAATCATGTAGCTAAAGAGATAGTTTAAGGTAGTTTGATTCATGAATACTAATGTGATGATAAAGAAAGGGAATCTTGGGACCACAAAGGAGATACATCAGCCATTTTGTTGCCTCTCTTTGGTATTATCTATTTGGTATTATCATTCCAGTTCTTTTCACATTCAGTTTATTTTCCTCACTCTTTTCCTTCATGTCCTCTTTCTAATCAAAACCCAGATTCCTTCTTAATCCATCCCCTTTTGGTTTATCTCTTCATGTTACATGCCACCTAAAAGGGAAATTCCATTTCTATCAGGCTTTTGATATTGTCCAGAAATATGTTCAGTTTACCAATATGGTCTTCTACAAATGACTTTCCTTTTACCCTGTTTACCCAAATCCTGACCACATTCTAAGGTTCATCTTAGCTCCTACCATTACCTCAAAACCTGTTCAGTTTATCTATTTATTTTAGTGCTCTAAGCTGTTAAGCCCTACCATAGTATTGTGTTGCATTGTTGGTGTTATTTTTGTCTCCTTGGAAAATTGTAAATTCTTCAGATTAGGCATTTTATATAATACTTTTGTCTTTCCCAGAGCCTAACAATAGTGCTGAGCTCAAAAACCAACTTTTGAATTTTAGTAGCATAAAAATAGCATTTCTCTCAAATTAAAAATTAGTAAACATGAAGTTATATTACTTTGAGCTACAGGGAAAAGAATGTCTTGCTAAAAGTTAAAAATGCTTTTATTTTGTATGAAAATTTGAAATTGAAACAGGAGAAAAAGGAATTACACTTACTAAATTCTTTTGTCTTTCAAATCAGTTTGTTCTGAATGCCTGATATGGTAGAAGTAATGGGAAAAATACTTGGCATAAAAGACATGGGATGATGCTGACTCTGTCATTTAATGTGAGGTTCTGAGAAAAGCTCCAGAGTTAAGTGTTAGCTTACCTTAGCTGTAATTTGGGATTAATACTACTCAAGGCTATGCTGAATATTAAATAAAATTATGGAATGGAATGCTTTGCATACTTTAGAGCAATATATAAATCCAGCTTAATTACTGCTCCCATCTTGAATGATAGTTGGTAAGTTTGCATTTTACAAATGTATTGATTTTCATATTACATTATATTTTGTGATCCATTGATTTCCAGGTCAGATTGGTCTTCTTGCTTCTTAGAAGGAGGCAGACTTCTATACTAACAAAGTAATTAGTGACTTATGATAAGGCCTCTAAGAGGGACACCTAGGAGTTATCAGGGAATGCTTCCTAAAGAAAGTGACATGACATCTAAGCTCAGACCTCAGAGATGAATAAAGTTTGTCAAAATTGTATATGTGAGTTTGTAAAGATGAGTGTATGTGATGATATAATCTTTTCATTAACTTTCTTAACTCATTCATAGAAATGATCCTTTATATTAACAGCTGACTAGAACTTTTTTGCAGGGTGTTAATTATCTCTTCTTCCTCATCTAGCACAGATATTTTTTTAAAAGATTTATTTAGTTATGCATACAAAACTGGTACAGACCAGAGGTACAGGGGCAGTGAGAGGCTTCACCAGAGACAGAGTGGGGAGCAGAACAGGTAGATCAACTAAATATACTGCTGAGGGGAGCAGCAGGTGAGTCAGGAGAGGTCTACTGCACTATGCGGATAACCTCCAGGGCGGGGATCGACTTGCACTGAGGCGGCTGTGGCTTGCTGCAGTGTTGTGCCCTAACCCGTTGAGCCACCTGGGAGGGTCCGATATATTTTACTAATTAGACCCAGAGCAAGAACTGTTTTCTTTATAGACATTTATCCATTTTGTTGTGTTCCTTTTAGTCTGCATTTACTCTACAACTACCAGCCACTTCCTTCACTTCTTCTTTGCAAAGAGAACTGAAAAATCGGTTTTGGAAGAAGTTTTGTTTCCTTTTGTCTATGAAAACATTACTCTTGCATGGTTTCACATATTTGGAATATGTATGCTCCTATTTAAATTAGGAAGAATGTGGAGAAACCTGCAAAATGTTAGGGGGCGAGCATTTCAAAATAGAGTATCCAGAATGGCACCTGGCACAAAATAATCTCTCAACGGGTAACTACTAAACAAATGGATATTCTGCATTATTACAGGCAGAAGACATTTAAAAAAGCTGAAAGTACATGGAAAACTGCTGGGTTAGGGCATATGAATTAATGATTAGGAAGCAAATCTCTTAAGAATATAGCAGGAATCCCTAAAGAGACTAGAGTTTAGATGTACAGTTTCTCACCAACTGAGCTTTGCTAAATGAGTTTTTTAAATCACATAATTTTAAAATCATGTATCAGAATTTTGTAAAAACCCTAATATGCTTATTAACTTTAATCACCATAAATTAAAAAAAAAAGTTTTTACTTATTTCCTGTAAACATACAGAAGATCTGAGGGATAGTTTACAAAGAGAAAAGGCCTTTAAAAATAGCAGACACTAAGCTAATGGAAAAAGTACAGGCAGATACAGTGTTTGACTCAGACTTTTGAAAATGCTATTCAGAAAATTTGTAGGGGGGTATCAGTTTTCAGCAGGTCACTATGTCATCATAGCAGTATTTTTATGTAATTGCCAAAGGAAGTAATTAGGAAGAGGATAGTGTGATTATTTCCCAGGGTTTTTTTTTTTTTTAATACAAGTGTATTTGGTTGGTGTACGAAATATATGCTGACTATAACATTTATTTGTTGATATTTTTAAAGTAAAATTTCTCCATTAGCTTTCTATTCTTTTTCTACAGTTTCATGGTTTACCTACTATAGAACCCTTTTCTGGATTTTAACTTTCAAGGTTGGCAACAATTCCCATATATTGTAAACTCCGCTTTATTAAAACAGAAGGGGAAATAAAAAATTACTGGATGAATATCAGCAGGCACTTATTTTGGGATCTGATAGAAATCATCAGTGAGCTAAGAACCTACCAAAGACCTTTAAGGCTATAAAACAGTGATCTGAATGCTGTCACACCTGATCTCCCTTTACAAATACTTTATACCATCCCCTGTGCTAGCCTGAAGATAAATCTGTAATATTATCTACTCACATTCATAACTACTTTCCCTACTCATAGTATGAAGAAATAAATAAAAGGAAGATAATGTATAATGTTTTAATATATACATGCTTAACTGTTACTATGTTAGAAAACTTAATGAAGCAGTGTTGATGTAATAGATGCAGGGGTAGACTAATGTGGGTGTATGGTACCGTGACCTGTATACCATGAATGTCTCTGTGTTGGCAATCTGATTTTCCAAAATGAAGTAACTTTTAATAAAAGCATAATTATTTAAATTTACAATACATATTCAACACTGAAAAAGCGTTTCCTTTAAAACTGTACAACAAAATTCTTTCTATCTCTTTGTAAAACTATGGCAAGAAATTTCCAGACACACTCTTACAGTTCTGAAATGTCCTTAGATAATGTAATATCCTCTTGCCCACTTTGAGAACCACTGTCATGTAAAATCATAGTGTTCTATATTAAGATAGCACCACTGGCCAATAAGGGTAATATTTTTTACTAAAGATTTTTTTCAGTAGTACTAGGTTTACTTTGAGCTATTTATTTTTTTCTTTACCTGTCCTTAGGGACCAACTACATGTAAACCAATAAGTCATTGACAGAGATAGTTTTATTGTGGATTAGAATTTTACTCCTGGTGAATTAAAGATCTGAGTATATTCAGAGTCAAAAATACTAGTAGTATAAAAGATTTTTTCCTGATTTTTTAATCTTAAAAGATCACTGACTGCTTAAGTAAATTAGTAATAATGTTATTAACTAATTTTAAAATAAAATGTATGACAATAGCAACACAAAGAATGAATGAAGAAATGGAAGTATATACTTGCAAGGCTCCTCAAAATACACCTAAAGTGAGATCATATCTCTTGAACGGTGGACTGTGATAAGATGTATAACTGGGCTGTCTCTGGTGGCACAGTAGGTTTAAGCACAGCATTAAGAGGCTGGAGCCACTCCAACCTGAGTTTGATTCCCACCCCAGAGGTGATCCACATGGCGTGGCAGACCTCTCCTGACCCACCCGCTGCTCCCCTCAGCAGTGTACTTTGACAGTCAGCCCGTTCTAGCCCGTTCTGCTCCCCACTTGTCGCTGGTGAATCTTTTCACCACCCCTGCACTTCTGGCCTGTACCCTAGTTCTGTATGCATAAATAAATAAATCTTTTAAAAAAAATGTATAGCAGAAATTGTAATCACTAAAAAAAAAAAAGGAAAAAACCAAACCCAAAAGAGATATAACCAATAAGACAATAGAGATATAAATAAAATCAAATTATGAGAAATTATCCATCCAAGAGGGGGAAAGGTCAATAGTCATAGTCCCTAAAACAAGGTCTGAGGTTTTTTTTGACTCGTTGCTTTACTCCTTGCTCCTGCAGTTATGAGGATGGCCTGTATCTGTTATTCAAAGAATTGGTGATCTTTTTAAAAAAATACAGCTCAGTATTTGAATTAGAGGTCTTTTGCCATTACTTAGGATTCTTTCACTTCCCCCAGTGCACTGTTCTCCCACTTCAGCGTCCATAGCTTCACCCAGCATCTTTTTTTTACCATTTTTTTGATGCTCCACTTGAAAATGGGTCAGTTATAACTTTGTCACTAAGTTCTGTACTTGAAAATCTAACATGCTGCATAGTAAAATGGAATGGATTGATCTTTGATTTTTCTGGGATGGCTCAATATACTTTATGCCCTTTTCTTTCTCCCTAATTCAGAGACATGAAAAATGCTGTAATTGGAAACAACAAACAGAAAGCCAACCTCATTGTTTTAGGAGCTGTTCCAAGGTATGTTCGTCATCACATTTTTTGCTATTCATTCTAAGTTTCTAGTGTATTTCTTATTCTCAATTCAAGTAAGACATGTCTTCTGTGTTGTCATATTTTTGAAAATTTTGTCACCTTTATAAATAAGTGTTTTGATACATTTGAAGCATCTCTTTAGGCGAAATTAGAGTACCAGAAAATGTGATTTGAAGCAAATGTGCTGATACTGGAAATTCAGGAAGCTCACTGACTGTGCGATAAAAGGGTGTGTTGGATTGATAGGCAATATACACTAGTCTGATTCTTTCTTCTCTATCACTTCAGAGGCCTGGCAGTTTTTGTATGACTACATAACTTCCTAGGAGCCTTAAAATCTATTTTTGAGATTACAAATAAGAAAGATAGTTTGGATTGTAATTCTGGGTTTCTTTTTTTTAAATTTCCAGTTTCCAGAATTTGCTGTTAATATGAGTTTGATTTCTTCTGATGACGTCCTTTTGGAAGGCAATGACAATTGTGTAACTTCCTCTACCTTTGCTATTCAGAACTAAATTTTATGTGCAATTACTATTAGTTTTTCATACAATTTTTATTGTTATTGCTTTTTTTCTCTTCTCTCTTTTGATACAGGATTAATGGTTTTATTGTTGATCAAAACCAGCTACAAATGTAGAATTTGGTAACCATAAAGCTCTCACATTACTTAAGGGATTAGTGTTCAGTATATATAAATATGCTTTAGGAAGCATAAAGTTTCCAGTTTAAGCAAAATGGTCACAAATGGTGGGATTAGCATTTGGGGAGTCGTTGTTTGGCACACTGAACTGGAGTGAAGATTGGGAGGAATCTCCTGATTCCCCAAATGGAAGAATTAGAGAAGAGAGCCTCCCTTTCTTAAAGGTCTGAATACTCCCTGTATTCGAGACCTCTGGTCTCTGAACTTCATTTTTGGATACTCAAGGGCTGTTTTTAATCTGAATTTAAATTCCAGCAGCACTTGGAATTGGTAGTCTTCATGTCCTGAGGTGTCTGAAAACATAGACTGTGTGATAATGGTTTTGGGGGAGACTACTTGTGAGAAACTTTCAGATTTATCATTCTGAGAAGCTCAGATATACATCATAGTTTCTTTGTTCAGACTGAAGAACTGAAGAAAATCTTAGAGGTTTTTTTTTTTTTTTAAGCCAGATACTCCTTCATTTTATTAACAGATGATGGAAACATATCACCATTCCTTATCTCTGTATAAGCTTATTGCTAACTAAATTTTTAGTATTTGGAATATACTGGTATCATTTTAGTTTTAAATTTTTTAGTCTCATCTATTTATCAAGTTACTTCTTTTTAGATTGCTGTACTTACTTCAGCAAGAAACTTCAAGTACAGAACTGAAAACTGAATGTGCAGTGGTATTGGGAAGTCTTGCTATGGGCACTGAAAACAATGTCAAGTCTCTACTGGATTGCCATATTATCCCTGCCTTATTGCAAGGTATGTGGGACATCATTTTTCTAGAATTAGCTTATAATGTTTTAAGTACAGGCTGGAAGGATGAGTCTTGGATATTTTTCTATTAATAGGACTACTGTCCCCAGACCTGAAGTTCATTGAAGCTTGCCTCCGATGTCTGCGCACCATCTTTACCAGTCCTGTCACTCCAGAGGAGCTACTGTATACAGTGAGTTTTAAATACTTTTAAATCACCAGTTATATTTCACTAGCAGCACACTTCTGATTTACTTTTTTTTTTTTTTAAGATTTATTTATTTATTCATACAGAATTAGGGTACAGGCCAGAGTTGCACGGTCAGTGAGAGGATTCACCAGAGACAGAGTGGGGGGCAGAACAGGCAGATCAACGAAGTACACTGCTGAGGGGAGCAGCGGGCGGGTCAGGAAAGGTCTGCCGCGCTATGTGGTCCCCTCTGGGGCAGGCAGGGATCGAACTCATGCGGAAGTGGTTTTCGATTCTTAGTGCTGCTCTTTAACCCGCTGCACCACCAAGGAAGGCCTCCTGATTTACTTTTAGCATCCAAAGTCCATCATAATTGTGTGATGTTTTGTTATGAAAAAGGCTCATTTATAAATATCAATTTATAATACTTTGATCTAGACTTTATAAAGATGAGAAATTCATAAGCTTTTTAAATTTTTTTTTAAAAAATTCTTTTCTTTTGCTTTCTTTTGTTTTGTAGACTTTTTTAAAAGATCCATTTTGAACTCTTAAAAACATAACAGATAGGCCCTCCCTGGTGGCGCAGCGGGTTAAAGCACTGCACTAAGAAACTAAAAAGCCACTTCCGCATGAGTTCTATCCCCGCCTGCCCCGGAGGCGACCACATGGCGGCGAGGCAGACCTCTCCTGACCCGCCCGCTGCTCCCCTCAGCAGTGTACTTCGTCGATCTGCCTGTTCTGCTCCCCGCTCTGTCTCTGGTGAATCCTCTCACCCTCCGCATCTCTGGCCTGTACCCCAGTTCTGTACAAATAAATAAATAAATCTTTAAAAAAAAAAAAAACATAACAGATAAATGATAAAAAATATAAAATTAATATTTAATTTTTTTAAATGCAAAAATAAATACAAATAAAAATATTAAGTATATTTAATGCTTAATGAGTTTTAAGAAATTCTGCTCAATCTAGGGTAAAATCAAGCAGGGTAGGCTTTTTAGAGAAGCTAGAACGTGACCTAAGTTTTTATGATAGATGAGCTATGGAGAAGTAGAGCGGTAGGAGGCCAATCTAGGAGAGGACTATCTAAGAGCAAGTAAGGCAGTGCAGTGGGCAAATAGTCAAATGTAGGAGGACATCAGTATTAGTTTAGTGAACCAAAATCAGTTTGCATGAGGCTTACTTGCCAGGTTAGATAATGCATGTAAAAGAAACAGATTCTCTAGAGACCTTTGGAGTTTTTTCAGTGGTTTCAAAAACCTCAGAGAATATTATAGGGTCTTTTTAGTGCTGCGCTTTAAGCTCCTGCGCCACCAGGGAGGGAGGGTCCTAGAGGGTCTTTTTTTTTTTTTCTTTTTTTTTTAAAGATTTATTTATTTATTCATACAGAACTGGGGTACAGGCCAGAGGCTCAGGGGCGGTGAGAGGCTTCACCAGAGACAGAGTGGGGAGCAGAACAGGCAGATCGACGAAGTACACTGCTGAGGGAAGCAGCGGGCGGGTCAGGAGAGGTCTGCCACGCCATGTGGTCACCTCCGGGGCAGGCAGGAATCGAACTCATGCGGAACTGGCTTAAGCTTCTCAGTGCTGTGCTTTAACCCGCTGCGCCACCAGGGAGGGTCTAGAGGGTCTTTTTTATCTGTTGATTTCGTAGGACTTGTTTTTTTGTTTTTTTTTTTTTTAAGATTTATTTATGCTTATAGAACTGGGGTACAGGCCAGAGGTGTGGTGGGAAGAGGATTCACCAGAGAGGAGCAGAACAGGCAGATCTGAGGGGAAATACACTGCTGAGGGTAGCAGTGGGTGGATCAGGAGAGGTCTGCCATGCCAGTGGGTCAGCTCCCTGGCCAGGGAACTAACTCATGCTGCAGTGGCTTCATAGAGCTCCATAATGCAGTGCTTTAACCCGTTGTGCCACCAGGTAGAGCCCACATAGGACGTTCTCAATGGAAATTATTCAGGCCAATCTTTTTCATACACTATTATCCAGAACTCATAGTAAGAAATGGGTTTTCTTTTGTCACACTATGTACATGTATGCACATGCGAGTGTGTATGTATGAGACAGAATTCTGAAAGTCTCTTTGCAGAATAATTCTATAAATATGACCCCTAGTTTTCTAGTCTGCCCTTTTTTCATTTTTGAATGCTAGTTGTCATTCTCTAAGCTAACATGAAGATTCAGAATGTAAAATTGTACATTTGACAGGTGAGATGAAGCCACTCACCTGTCTTCTTTACTGTAGAAGTCATCTCTTGGAGAAATTGATCCTGGCCAGCTGTTCTCTTTGTTCTCCTCTCTAAACTGAGTTCATGACACATTAATGGATCATGATTAATAATATCAAAAGCTCTGACTTACACAAGTTTTAACTTTTTACATGAGAAAAACTAAGATTCAGAGACATTAAGTGACTTTCAGTGAGAACGTCTAAATTATGAAGCATTTTTATTTTGTGTTTAAGGGACAAAGAAAAATTCATGAAAAGTGTTAGTTGGGCTAATGACAGAGTAGTGTTTCAGTGTAATTAACTGACATCTGTGAGTTGGATTGTGTAGAGGCCAGCTTTTACAACACTCATCTGGAAGACAGAAATCCACTTGAGAGAATGCAGAGAATCTAGTGTGAAATCCTGTTTATCAAATGGGTGACTTTCACCAACTTATGTAACTGTGTTCTATAGCACAACTGGCAGAAATGGGTAAGAGCTGTTGTAATAGGAAAACCGAGAGACAAAAGAGCTAAAGAAAACTGAAGTAAAGGAAGGTGATGGAAGTAGGTTTAGGAGACTATTAGACTCCTTGTTTATCTACCTGTCTATTGCCTTTTCCATCTTTGTTGCTGGCTACTACCTGCTTCCATGTCTTCTGCCAGTGGAGTCACTATTAACCCATCTCTCACTGGTAAAATAGACACGTGCTTGATATCTCATCTTTTTTCTGTGCATTTAGTGCTTAACTTTTCTGCCATGTTCCTTAGTTTTTCATTTGGTCTTTAAAGTGCTATGAATAGGGCCCTCCCTGGTGGCGCAGACAGTTAAAGCACAGCACTAAGAAGCTAAAGCCACTTCAGCATGAGTTCAATCCCCCAGCCAGGGAGGTGACCTACATGGCATGGCAGATCTTTCCTGACCTGCCTGCTGCTCCCCTCGGCAGTGTACTTTGTCAGTCAGCCTGTTCTGCTCCCAACTCTGTTTCTGGTAATCCTTTCCCCACCCCTGCACCTCTGGCCTGTGCCCCAGTTCTATATGCATGAATAAATAAATGTTTTTTTTTTAAAGTGTTATGAATAACACAGAGGTTTACTCTAGTAAGCAAGAGGAAAAGAAATCAGCCTCTGTTTTTCTGCTTAGCTTTTATATATCTTGGGCATTATTTTCTTTTAAAGGAAAACCCTTTAAAATCTTGTTCATCCTAACAGTGGTGTTCTTTTACATTATCTTCCTTGCCCTTTTGTCTTTTCTCAAAGTATCATGTATGAACCAGAGTTGTAAACCTAAGGTAGGATCTTAGGTTCTGCTCCAAGCACATTCATACTTCAGAAGACTAATGACAGCATTGAATAGGAAGCTTGAGCAAAATCTTATTTTCCATCTGTGGTGCAGACTAAATCCCTTTTCAACTTGTAATTCCTTTTAAATTAAAAAAATAAAAAATAAAAAGGATATTCTTGGAGAGTACCGCAATAAGATGGATCATTTTCTCTACAACACTATATATGTTGCTAAGTGTCAGGAATAGGCAGAGAGTGGGCTATAAGTGAGAGGTTTTTATCATATACAGATTGAAATTCTTGTACAGATTGAAATTAACTAACTGCAGGTATTATGAGAGATTGTTACAGTTTACTGGTATACTTTAACATGTCATATCAAAATGTTTTATTTTTATGCAATAATTTCTCCTTAAACTATTTATTGTAATACATTTTATTTGTTACTTCATATCTTATTTCAGAACAGATTTCTGTCAAGTCTTATTGAAATGATTTTCAAATGATTTTGTTTTATTGTAGACTATAGGAATATTTGATGGCCATGTTCCTTTATTTTGCTGTATTCCTTAAAGAAATTTGATTCACTGTCTGTAAGATAAATGACTAGAATATATACCTAATAGAAATAACCTGTTAGAGGTACTCACAGAACCTAAGTTCTCTGTGCTGTGCTCTCTTTCTCTTCAACTGCAGGATTCCACAGTGATACCACACCTCATGGCGCTGCTGGCCAGGTCCCGCTACACCCAGGAGTATATCTGTCAGATCTTCTCACACTGCTGTAAAGTAAGAACCGGAATCTATGTTCTCTATGACATAACTCTCACATGCCCTTGGGATGTGACATAACCTACAGACTTTAGTATATATCCCACCCCAACCCCTTTTTTAACACAACTGGTGTACATACTCTTCTGCACCTCACACTTTCCACTTATCTTGAAGGCTATTCCTTATCAGTCCATAGGAACTCATTCTTTAAAAAAAAAAGTCACGTAGTTCTTTACTATATATATAAAATTTTATTAACTAGCTCTCAGTTGTTAAACATTTGGTTTGTTTCCCATTTTACATTATTACAAAAAAACCCTGCAACTTATATGTAAGACATTTTGTAAGAAATGAAACTGCTTAGTCAGCATGTGTACATTTGTGATTTTTGCCACATACTGTTTTATATTGACATACTGTTTTATACTTCTGCCAGCAGTGTGAGATCATGACCATTTCCCCAAGCCCCAGTTTCCCAGTATTCTATGAAATTATCCTCATATCTTAACAATTAGTACTGAAATACAACTTTTAATAATTTTCATGACTTTGACTTCCCATTAATTGAACAGATATTTAGGACATAAAACAAATAAGAATTTTATCAAATTTAAAGCCTTTGGATTTATCTTTAATTTCTGCCACTTTGAAAATCTTCAATAAATTATTTAGTAGAAAGCCCAGAGTTGATGAAAATTAAAATAACTTAATTTCCTTATTTCTTTACCTTTCCACATTACAAAATGATAGTTTTAAGATGAGAAATAAATGAAGCAGAAACCAGAACATGTTCATTTCTCAGTTATGAAATGTTGTGTTTCTCTCCATCCCTCAGACTCTGGTCCTGTTCCACTTGTAATTAGTTTTAGATCTCCCCTGACTAGCTCTCATCAGTCACAAGTTGTAAGAATGACTGCCACTATCTCCTGTAAGAATAGTGCAGGAATTTGTGGAATTAATAGTGTTTCTGTTGCTGTGATGGTGTGCTACTTAAGAATTGGAAGTGGTTCTGGTGCCAAGATAGCTTTTGTGTACCCTTCTATCTGTTGTGGAGATAAAGAAGCAGTAATTTCACAGATTGGGATGAGGTAAGATATGGCGGTCTCTTGCAAGACTGAAAGCAGTGTCTACCCTGCTTTTTTTAAGGATAGGTTCATGTAATAAAAGGTTAACATTGTAGTGAATATAGTTTTCTACATTTAAGTAAAAGTTACATTGGAATGAGTCATTACTCTCCTCATGTGTTATTATATTCTCTTCTCTTACAGGGTCCAGATCATCAAACAATCTTATTTAACCATGGTGCAGTTCAGAATATTGCTCACCTACTAACCTCAGTATCATACAAAGTAAGATGTTAAAGATTATAGTTAGATTTTTCCATTTATTTTGGTTTTTAGTGTTTTATTCTAGGAGAGCTATATATATACTGCTGCTTTGATAATGTGGGCAAGCGTATTATTTTATCAGCAGAATGTCATGGGTATTGTTTTACCTATAGAATATTCTTAAACACAAAGTTACCCTTGTCTTTAACTTTTTCCCCCAGGATATAGTTGTGGCATGAGTTGCTGTAGTTGTTCACCTGTGGTCTTTAATATTCTCTCTTGGTTAGGTTCCAGTGCCAACGCTGCACTTGACGTGATGCCTTGAAGTATGTAGGATCAATGGCTTACTGTATCAGGAAAGACTGGATTTCATAGTTGAGACCTTTATTCAGCCGTAGTTTCTCAAACTTATACACACAAGCATCCGCATTTAAAATATGTTCTCTTTTGTGTTAAAAAGATAAGGATTTTCTGACTTATTGAATTTTCTTGACTGTCTTTAGGTAAGTGGTATTGTGCTGTATCATTCATAGATTCAAAATTGGTCACTCATCATGGTTAACCAAGCTAGTTTTAGCTTGCCACTGCCCTTATTGTGTTACATTAGAACTAGGCACACCCAGAGTTTCCTGAGTTGGAAAGTAGCCATTTTTTATATTTTATCCACTTCCACTGATCCTACTCTGTTTAGATCCTTAACTTTTTACAGTCGGGACCTGATAATAGGTATATTTTCCCTTCCTTATACATCTAAAGTTTAGTCTTGGTGAAGAGAGAGCTGAGCCAGCTTGAACCTAGCCAGAGGTAGAAGGGGAAGGGGAAGGAAGTATGTAGTGCAGGCTGCTTCCTCTGCTTTTTGCCACACAGAAGTTGAAACCAGTCAGCATTTGCACATCAAAAAACAGTTGCTGGGATGGCTGTTTTTTTTCCCTCTACTTCTGTAGCTTCTAGCTTCTAGCTTCGTTAATTTCTCTAGCTCTTCCTTTGTTTTTTTCTTTTTTTGCATTAAATTTCCTTATCCACTATAACAAATTACAGGTTGTCAAAGGAAAAGATTTTGTTAATATTACTCGTTTGCCAAGGTTTGCTCCATCGTCTGTATGTCAGTCAACAGTTTCTGGGTCCTGTGGATATATGCATGTTTATACACATGACACACTCTAGCTTCCTATCCTGTGAATACCTGCCAATCTCAGGTTCCACATAAGAACATCATATATAGTGTCAAGCTTGGAGGATCAGATCATCTGAAAAGTGAACAGAAAAAAATGAAAAATAACAGCTGTTGTGAGCACCAGCAGATTGTAAAATATCAGTCTATCATAGGTGGTCAAAAGATTTGACCCCTGGTATCATCTTAGACAAGTAATCTAGTTTTTATTTATTTGTGCATACAGAACTGGGGTACAGGCCAGAGGCTCAGGGGTGGTGAGAGGCTTCACCGGAGATAAGAGTGGGGAGCAGAACAGGCAGATTGACGAAGTACACTGCTGAGGGGAGCAGCGGGCGGGTCAGGAGAGTCTGCCACACTACGTGGTCACCTCCGGGGCAGGCGGGAATCGAACTCATGCGGAAGTGGCTTTAGCTTCTCAGTGCTGTGCTTTAACCCGCTGCGCCACCAGGGAGGACCCGACAAGTAATCTAGTTTTAAGGCATTACTATGGCTTACCGCAGGTCATAGCTGTTTTCAAAGTTAATTTAGTCCTTTTTAAAAATAAATAAATTTATATATATTTAAGATTTATTTATGCATACAGAACTGGGGTACAGGCCAGAGGTGCAGGGGTGGTGAAAGGTTTCACCAGAGACTGAGGTGAGCAGTGTACGCCCCCCAGAGTACACTGCTGAGAGAAGCAGCAGGAGGCGTGTCTGGAAGAGGTCTGCTGGGTCATGTGGATCACCTCGAGGGCAGGGATTGAACTCATGCTAAAGTGGTTTTCGCTTCTTAGGGCTGTGCTTTAACCTGCTGTGCCACCAGGGGCTCAAATTATTATAATTGTTTCTTTCTCTGTTCTGTTTGCCCCAGCCCCACCCAATACACACCTATAAGAGTACTCTTTGTTGTCTTCTCTTCAGTTCTCTAGTTTGAGGTTTGGAAAGTAGAAGCACATGAAAGACAGTTTGTAACTAGTTGTTATAAATTTCTCTTTGTATTACCAGCATTGAATCTGTACAGTGTTCTTTCAGATATGATCAGGAATTTGTCTAGTTCAGTTTTAATTGCTTCCTTGTTACTCTCTTTTTTATAGTTATTTTAAAATGAATTTGAACTTTTATAATTAATTTTAACTGTTATATTCTTTAGCTATACATGTGATTTTTTATTCCCTTGACACATGCTTTGAGTACTTTAAGCAAACTTTAGTTATTTCTTCAGGAGGGTTTAGATTCGAGACTTTTAAAATTCATATTTGAGAATTGAAATAAGTGCGCTTTTTTTTTTTTTTGTCATTTTACTTTTATAGGTTCGAATGCAAGCACTGAAATGCTTCTCAGTTTTAGCTTTTGAAAATCCCCAGGTATCGATGACCCTAGTAAATGGTAGGCTGGAACTTTCAGTGGCATCTATATGATTTAATTTATAAACTTTGTAGATTTAAAGAATTTTCTTAATCTTGTTTGTTTTTTTAATTTCTAGTTTTGGTTGATGGAGAATTGTTACCACAAATTTTTGTGAAGATGTTACAGAGGGATAAACCTATCGAGATGCAACTCACATCAGCAAAATGGTAAAAATTAAGATAATGTGGGAAGGAAGAGTGCGTTGTCACTGTTGTAGACTATTTTGGTTACAGTCTAGTTTTTTGCTGTCAGTCCTTATCTTGTTTTGGAATTTGAAATATGTAAGTCTCACATTAAATGGATGGGAATCTCTCAGTTTACTGCAAGTAGCATGCAGACTAGGAGAACTCTCATATAACACCTAAAACTATCTAAAAAATTACTTCATTACATTCACAACTTTTATTTTCAGTTGAAATAATACAGAATAGATTAGATTTAATCAACACATTTGAGTATTAAAATATTTTTTAAACTGTTAATTATATTATAAATATAAAGGTATAGAAATAGAAAGTGTGAATTTCAGAGAATGTGACATGTCATCTTTAGGAGAAAAAAATCCTCAAAAAGATGTGACATTTATAAGATGTGTGAAGGTCTTGTCTTGTTAGCATACTTACTGGCTCATAGAGACATTTAATGCTATTAATTTTGTAGCTATCAATATATTTATAGGATGATTGAACACCTCTTATGTATTTTTCTGTATTAAATTTCGGTACTTAAGTTTAGTAAATGCTGAATTTCATTTTGGAAGTGCTGACTCCAATATTTTGGCAAGAATGAGGAATTTTCAGTGAATTACTTGTGTACCAAAACTAATTTTTTTTTAATTTGTATTTCTTGTTTGCGTGTTTTTTATCTTAACTTCAAAAGTGAGCGTTTATTTCTTAGTTAATACTAATGTTCTCATATAATTGTTTGAAAACAGAATGTGGTGACAGCAAAGAACTCAAACATCAAATAAAAAAATTTACTGATTTGTTTATAACTTCCTGTAGGAGCAAGAACTTGGGATGTTTTCTCCCTAGCTCACTAAAGGAATCGAATTTGAAAAGGAAATAAGTTCTGAGGTGTTTACTTTCAAGTACCTGCTTAAAGGAGTACAAATTAATTTTGTCCTTACTTACAGCCAGATGAAATTGTGTAGGTAAATTATTTTTCAGTAGAACCAAATCACTGACTTATTCTCAAAGCTACTACTGGTAACCTCTGAATAATTAGTTCATTTCTTCTGGATTTCTGTTACAAGTTAAATACTACTTCTGTAATGTTTCCACAGTTGCTTTTGGAGTATCAGTACAAATTTTTTTAAACTTATATACTTTGTTAATACTATATTTTGCTTTAAACAGATTATTTTTATTATGGAGAAATTTAGAAAGAGAAAAGTTTAAAGAATTCCAGTGTGCCCAGCACTCTAGATTCAGTGTTTAGCCATGCATTAGACCCTTTATTTTTTAAATAATTTTGTAGATTTTTTAAATCTGGTTTATGTCTATATCAGTTTCCTTTGACTGTTTAATTCCCGGTACCTCAAATAAATAATTCCTAGTACCTCTTATGATAAGTGAAATTATTTATCTTTTTTTTTTCCCGTATTATCCTAAAGGCAAGCAATTTTTCTTTGAAGCTTTAAAACACCACAAAAACTTACTTTCTTCCATCTTATTCCAGTTTAACTTACATGTGTAGAGCTGGAGCAATTCGGACAGATGACAACTGTATTGTATTAAAGGTGAGCTAAGTAATTCTTTCTAAAAATGTGAAAAAACTATCCAGTGATATAAATGGTGAAATAAATGTTGGCATTCCTATTTTTGTTACGTGTTTTCATTATGGCATGTGCACATAGCATAAAATAATATTTAAAAAGCATGTTTAGTGGATATCATTTAGTATCAATAAATTAGTTTTAGATGTGTTTTAAAAGTCAAAACAAAATAATGTTTTCCTTGTCACATCTTTCTCATTAAAAAAATAGATGTATTTATCTATCTATGTATCCATTTATTTATTTATTCAACTACTGAGGTATAGGGATGGGGGTGGGTAAGAGGATTCACTAGAGATAAAGTGGGGAGCAGAACACATCTACTGAAATACACTGCTGAGGGGAGCTGCTGGCAAAGCAGGAGAGGTCTGTTGCTCCATGCAGGTCAGCTCTCTAGCTGGGGATTGAACTCATGTTGCATGGTTGGCAATAGTTTGATAATGCTGAGACTTAACCCCTTATGCCACCACGGAGACCCACCTTTTTAATATTTATGACAACTATACAGATATAGAAATTATAAGAATATGTAAAATTCCAGTGAAATAGAAAAGAAATAGAAAATTTCTTTCAGGTGAAAATTTCTATTCAGGTGAAATAGAAAATTTTAATCTTTGATTTTTATTACTCTACAACTATTGTAGACAAGCAGTTTACTAGTCTTCAGATATTTGTATCACTCAGATTATAAATAATCAAAAGATGTAATAAGAAAGAAAGAGTAAATAATACATGAAAATAATCTTACTGGTATATCAAATTAACTAGAAAGAACTCAAAGCCTAGAGGAGAGACTAACATTACAGTCCAAGGACCTGGATTCTATTTTAGTGTCCCCATCACTGACTTTCTTAGTAATCTTGGGCACATTTCTTACTCTTTTGGTGACTTAAATTCCTAATTCTGAAAATGGAGACATCTATATATTTACGAAAATGCTTATCTGACCCACGGAATTATAGTAAGCCTAATGATATATTAAATATATATATATATATATATATTATATAAAAATTCATCTATTTTGGATAACATATCTATAAAGAACAGACAAGAATTAGTAAATTGATCCTGTGTCATATTATGAATATGAGAGCTCTCATTATCATCGTTAAAATGAACCCAAGCGTAAAAGAACATTTAGAAGACTAATGTTTGCTATAGCCTTTGGTGAAGCAAGTCCACTGATTTAATTAAATATGAGGTATTCAATTAAGTAAGTAAGTTACTTACTTACTTAATTACTAAGTAAGCAATACTGGTTGGTTGGTTGTTTTTACAATAAGGATTTCCATACAAATAACCTTGATTTATTTACTTCTCTTCCATTCTTTTACTTCCTCATTAGTAAAGTAAGTTAATAATATTTCTTGATGTAGCAGCTGTAAACATTAAATTTCATAGTCCATGAATTTATGATGATGAATGTTTATAACTGTTCAAAGTATTGTATTGATGAATGTTAGTAACTGTTCAAAGTAAAATAAGAATAGGGCTTTCCTCTTGGAAGCTTAGGGTTCTCGTAAAGCCTGTTCTAGCCAGGTAGGAAATCAAAAATGAACCAAAAAATGCTAAACTCTGTTCTAAGAGATATAATAGGAACTTAGGAAAGAACAAAACACTGTGGTAGTTGAACATTTTGATTTCTACTTCCACATTATCCTTTAATGTAAATTTATTAGCTTTAGAAAAAGTACATGCAGGAGCTATTTTTACTGAGAACTTAATGCTGATAAATTAGCAAGACCAGTGACAAGATTTTGAAGGGCTGCAGAAATAAATTTGGACTTACAGGTGATATCACAACCATTCCAGGGACATCATCAGAAAATCTAAGAATTGTGATTGATGCATTTCATTCATATTACAGAACTAGTGGAATCTGAGTAATAGTAAGATCACTGAATTTTTAAAGTTGTATTTTGTTTTTACAATAGATAATAGTCCCCAGATTGGGGTGGGGGGTAATCAAAGTCATCCCAGGCATACTACTCACAAAGGAAAAGATAGCATTTATTTTCCAGCGCAAAATCATTCTTGACTAAAATACTGGGTCTGCTTCAGGCAAATAAATACATAGATGGGCCAAAAGCATCAGATATGATTTATTAGGGATTCCTTAAATGTCTTTTATTTTATTAAGACTGTATTTATTTGTGTGTAGAAGAACCTGGGGTATAGCCCACAGGTGTAGGGGGTGAGAGGATTCACCAGAGATGGTGGGGAACAGAGCAGTCAGATTTACTGAAATACACTGCTAAGGGAGCAGCAGGTGAGACAGGAGAAGTCTGCTGTGGCATTTGTGAGTTAGCTCCCTAACCAAGAATGAAACTTGGGCCCTAGGGGTAAGACTTACCCCCTAGGCCACCATGGAAGCTCTTAAATGTCTTTTAGAAGCTTGTGCAATAAAGCTTCAGTCTGAAGATCTTTAAAGCCTAATTAGAGTTTGTTAATGTGCTTTGTATGATTAGAGCTTAGTGTGCCAAAAACATAATTAATATGCACTGAATTTTGTTCATTTTTTATTTCAGAGAAAGTGTTGTGTTCTCTCAAAGTCTGTTTAAACATTGATCACAAATCTGACTCCCTGTCAATTCAGCCACTATATGCTGCCAAACCTTTGCCTTTACAAAAACAATCTCTCTTTACCTTCCAGACATTGCCTTGTTTGGTTCGAATGTGCAGTAAGGAGAGATTACTAGAGGAAAGAGTTGAAGGAGCTGAGACACTTGCCTATCTGATTGAACCAGATGTTGAGCTACAGAGAATTGCTAGCATAACTGATCACCTCATTGCCATGCTTGCTGATTATTTCAAGTATCCCAGCTCAGTGAGTGCCATCACTGATATTAAAAGGGTATGTTCTCTTTTCTTTTTCAGCTGTACAAAAGAAGGTTTTAAACATTTTTCTTACTGCTCAGAGCTTTGAACCAATTAATAGTTGCAGTTCAGAGCCCTTTTAAATAAAGAATTGTTTTTACCTTTGGTAACACAGATGATGTACTTTGAGTTTTATTAATCCAGTTTGCCTCATGTTTATTGTCAGAAATTTCTTATTAAGTAGATATTCAAACAAGAAGAAAAATGCTTTCCTAGTTAAACGAAATCCGAAGTAAACCCAACTGAAACCCAAAAGTATTGGGGTCTCTGTGCTGGGTATTGATGTTATATCAACAATATCTAATGCTCTTCAAGGTTAAGAATCCTCTCTGTTGCTGTGTTCTCATGCTTTAAGTTAAGAGTAATGCATTGTTAAAAGTGACTGCATGCCCATACTTAATGCTCTTTAGCTACCTTTTCTTCTAACTTTTGCCATCAACCTATTTTTTTTTTTTCCCAGTTCATACTATGCTTTAAGGTTTGCTAGTGATTCTTAAAACATCACTTAATGTCTAGTTTGAGGCCATCAAGGACCGACTTGTACTAACTTTTTCTCAAAATATGTATTATAAAATAGATAATCCTTTTGCTTCTCAGCCTGTTTGTCATATCCATTTCTCTTAAGTATGAGGGAGCAAGCAGAGGGCATTTGTTGAAATTATGATAGAGGGAACCACCTCCTAATTAGAAGTCAGTACTGTTTCATGAATGTGACTGTATTTTTTATGCAATGGTAAATTTTTAAAAATTTGTCCTGACCTCTCCCATGACCCCAAGTTCTAAAAAACTTCATCTGGAAGGCAGTTGTCAATTTGGCACTTAACATTGAAAACAACAGATTCCTAAGGGAATGACTTTTTTCTGTCTTAGAAAGGACCTAAAGTAACTTTTACTAATATTTGTATTGGTAATATATACTGCCCTCCTTGTGTTAATATTAATGTGTCTACCCTTCCTTTGGTAGTAGTGTTTTTCCATAGCAGGGATGGCTTATGCTGAACCAACTGCCTTGTCTGTCATCCCTCTTCACTTACTCGACGGCACTCAATATCTCACTGGTACAGAGATACCTAAACTAGTCAGGAACACCCCAAGTTGACCACCCTTGCAAGGCAAACATATTACTTTGATAAACATGAGAATAAGGAAATATGAGAACTGCAATCTAATGTATGTGCATATGATTTAACTAGTTTAGTGGAAAATTATCTCTTCTAATGTTAGGGTTTTTTTTTCTATTTTATTTCCCTCATTATAAAACTAGAATAATATATATATATATGTATACACACACACACACACACACGTGTATATATATATATATATATATATATATATATTTTGCTCTGCAGTAGAATTTTTTTTTTTTAGTCATCTCCTAATGCCAAACATGAATTGTCGTTTGTTTCATCATCTTTATTTTTGGTGATGGATCATCAGTGACTTTTAACCATAAAAGCATAGTGACTAAGCCCACAGAGAAAAATTTGTAAATATTAATAAATATGTGATTTTCATGGAATATTAGTTCTAGTCAGTATTCTGAAATGTCCATTTTGACTAGAAAATAACAAGTTACAATTTTAAGAATAAATATTTTGAAATTTACACAACAGAATGAATGATGTATATTAGGAAGTCTTTTTCATAGTCCATCAATGCCTTCTTTGATCAAAATACTTTTGGAACTACTCTTAAAGAATTGCCTTTAAATCTAGCCCAAAAGAATTCAGTTTTTTTATTACGATGTTTTTGTTATTCTCATGTTACACATTCAGTTTTCCCATCTTCCCTCACCACAATCAATGATAAAACTCTTAGTTAATGAAGGTAATATCACTCTCATGGTGTGCTAACTAATATGTCACTTAACTCTAGGTGGTATCAAAACTGGGTCTCACAGTGTTATGAACAGCACCCACATTAGTACAGAGTAGTGAACCTTTCCAAGGCAACTCATTTGCAGGGTGATACTACTTGGACATAAAAGTTATAGCTTTTAGTTGTGAATAATTTTATATTATTGATTTGCCTTGTATATTTACTTGTTTGTATTTGGTCATTGACAGTTTCCTGAGAACATGCTTCTATTTTATTTTCATATCAGTAGTTTAGTGATATATCAAATGTATGGAAGAATTGATAACTGTAGCCAGTTGTGTACATGAAAATTTAGCATTGTTTCACACCAGTAAGAAATTTTACTAATTTCATTTAAAAAAAGCAAACTGAACAAAAAATAGACATTTGTAATAGGTAAATATATGATAATGATTATCCTGGGATATTGTTTATGAAGGGTTTTTACAAAGATCTCTCTGTTTCTAAAAGTTTTT